CCCTAATAAAATGATTAAAAAAAAAAAGAATAGTAATTATCTTTCAACAAATCAACGCGAGTATTCTATTCTTCCTTTTTGTCTCCCCATCACAGTAGTGTTACAGACTTATGCCAAGTAATCCAGAACCATGATTTTGCCTTCTTATTTATGTCAGAAGGTCCATCCTCTTAAAACCATGATCATGAACTTGCTGCTCAATTCTCCCAATGATGTTCTCCTCACCAGTGCCCTATACAATTAACTACTTCCTGCATCTGGGCGATAATGCCTCATACTTCTCCGAGGTGATCTAAGAATACCATCTGCTGTTCCTGCTAACTAGGCACATGGCCCTCAGCCTCCTTCCCCTTCTCCCCCTGCTTTCTGATGCGTGAGTGGCCTCATGAAACTACCATCCAGCCTGAAGCTGACTTCTCAATATGGAGAAGCCAGTGAGAGAGAACCGAAGCTCTCAAATTCCTGAAGCTTATATTTCCTAGCTGGGCCAGATGCAGAAAAAAAGAAAAATCATGGGGAGGAAAGGGGTTTCTACCCGGAAATCTCTTAACCTTGCCAGTGAAAACCTTTTAGTATTTTTTGCTGAAATGTCTACTTATCTCACATGGCAGGAGTTAGCAAAACTCTCTCTTACACAAAGACAGAATATACTGAAACATTGTAATAAGAAAAATGGTGAATATTTAACTTATCTTACCTTTGATGAGGCACAAGAATATTATTGATTCCTCCGAGTTTAACATTTATTTTTAGGCACAGGTTTGAGAGCGTTTGAGGAGATGTTTTAATTACATTCTTGACTTGAACACACTGCGTCGCCATACCCAAAAGTGTGTCTCCTACACGTTTCACCTCCGCTACCAGATAAATAAAAACACCTCTAGTTAGGAAAAAAAGCCAAAGTTTACCAACTGAAGCTACTGTGTTTCCCTACCTTAGGTCCATTACTGTATTACAGGGCACCAGCAGTGACGCCAACACTAACTAGGCCGTGAACAGGGAAAGCACACTGTCCTGAAGGTTGGCTTACGTCTCAAGAGCTACTTTCTTCTTTCTATAGAGGGGTGTTGTCACCTTCATAAAAACAGTACAACCACAACACTAAATACCACAAGGAGTAAACAACCTAAATGTCACCCACAGATGAACTAGTAAACAAAATATGATATGTACATATGATGCATAGTTACAGTGATAAAGTCTTGATAGAGCCACAACATGGGTGAACCTTGACAACATTATTCTGAGCGAAATAAGTTAATCACAAAAGGGCAAATATTTTATGATCTCATTTGTATAAAATATCTAGGGTAAATCAAAGTATACAGACCAAAGTGTGATTGGCGGTGACTAGGGGTGGAGAAGAAGGGAGTAGAGGGAATTACGGTTTAGCAAGTAGTGGGTTTCTGTTTAGAGACAGGAAGTTTACTATTAATTGTTGGTAATGGTTGAGGAATATGATGAGTATCATTAATATTGCTAAATCATAGACATGAAAATGTTGAATTGGAAAATGTTGTTTATATATACTTTACAACAATACAAAAACCATACAAGGAAAATGTCATCTCTTATTTACATTTCATTGAATTCTTCCAATAATTTACTATGAATCTATTATCAACTGTCAATTGTCCAGCCTTTAATTAACAATACTTCAATGTAACCTCTCTGCCATTATACATTTTGTTCAACATATAAAACTTCTTAAACGGGAAACATTTAAATATCAGTTTAAGATCATGTTTTACGTGGCACAGCTGATAAGGAAAAAATCTGGTGGTTCCTCAAAGAGTTAAACACAAAACTACCGTATGACCCAGTCAGTCTCAGGCTAGTACACAGTCAAAAAACTAAAGGCGGAGTGGCACCAGCAGCGGCGCGGGCAAGAAGCGCTTTGAAGTGAGAAAGTAGAATGCAGGGCCCTCTGGGCTTGGGACGTTGTGGTTGATAACTGTGCCTCTGCAGGAACCACAGTATGGATCTCTGCACAGAATGTCAAGCTGCCCAGGCACCTGCCACGTTGGAGGAGTGTACCGTTGCCTGGGGAATCTGTAACCACGCTTTTCATTTCCACTGCATCGCTCGCTGGCTCAAAACACGGCGGGTGTGCCCATTGGACAACAGAGAGTGGGAATTCCAAAAGTACGGGCATCAGGAAAAATAAATTCTTCTGTCAAGCTTAAATGCTTGGTTATTCACTTACTGCCTTGCCCTCCTGTTACTTAATGACAATTAGATGGAACCACGTCTTCGCTGCCTTGTCTTTTCAGCTTGTCGTGCTCATGCAACCATATCGTGTTCTGTGTCAAATAAAATTCCGGTTGGATTCAGAAATGACAAAAAAAAAAATTAAAGGCAGGGGGACTCAAGTAGATATCTGTGCATATTCTAGCAGTGTGGATAGAAGACAAAAGGTGGAAAACTATAGTGTCCATCAGATGAATGGATGAACACAATATGGCACATACAATGTAAATTAACTCAGCCATAAAAAGAAATATACTTTTTTATTAGTGTATTTTTTAATCGTGGCAAAAATAGACACAACAAAATATTCTCCAATTCAACAACTTTTACATGTATAATTCAGTGCCATTGGTTGTGTTGTGCAATCATTATTGATATCCTTTTCCAGGTTATTCCACTACCATTAACATAAACTAATGCTCCCTAAGCAAAAACCCTTCCTACTGCACCCAAATATACTTTTAATACTTCCTGCAGTATGGGTGATTCTTTAAAACATCATGCTAAGTTAGCAAGGCAGACACAAAAGGACATGTATGATTCCACTTCCATAAGGTATCTACGATAGGCAATGCATGGAGACAGAAAGGAGATTACCAGGGGCTGGAGAGGGAGAGGAGGGACGGGAGGGACTGATTAATGAGCACAGGGTCTCTCTTTAGGGGTTATAGCTCTACAACATGGTGAATGCAATTAATGTCGCTGAAGTTTACACTTAAAATTGTTTAAAATATGTATATTATAATCATTTCACCACAGTAAAACAACAACAAAACGAAAACGGATATGAGCTACCAAGCTAGTAAAAGACACGAAAGGACTTTAAATGCTTATTGCTCCATGAGTGAAGCCAGCCGAAAAGGCCGCCTGCAAATGATCCAAGTGCAGGCTCACCTGAGAGACTGGCAGGTTCAGCCCTACACAGTGCAATAAAGGGGATATCGCAACGAAGACTCAGAGAGCTTTAAAATTTCCCGGTGCATGACAAGGTCTGTTTACACTACAAGGTCTGTTTACACTACACTTTTCATAAATAGCATTATGAAAAGTTGCTACGTGAGGATTATCACAATGTGAAACAGAGAAATGGAATGAGTCTATACTGTTGAAATATGGCACTGACAGACTTGGTCAACAGAGGATTGTCAGAGTCCTTTAATTTGTACAAAGCTCAGTCATTGTGAGCACACTACAGCAAGATGTGTCTGTGTATGGTTCTGGAAAAGGCAAACTTAAGAGACGGTGTGTGTCTGTGTATGGTTCTGGAAAAGGCAAACTTAAGAGACGGTGAACAAATCTGAACACTTCCTCTTACTATCTTGTAATTAAACACTTTGTATATGTTGTAACTAGTAAGAACATCTGCTATTTGACTAATTTGTGAATTAATGACATACATCAAGCCAAGGTGTGAGGCCAGAGTAACTCTGGCTGTGAAGGTTAAGATTATGTGCCAATCTGGCTGGCCTATGATTATTACTGATTGGACAATTACATGCTGATGGAATAGCAGTATGTAATAATGTGATTTGGTAGCTATGTAATAATAGAAACCACCCTCCATTCTGTGATCTGATGTAGTCATCATCTATTCTCACAAAACCTCAACTTTCAAATCATGACCAGGTCTTTGGAACCTAAGCATGTCTGAGGAGTAGGTGAGGTGTCATGGGAGAGGGGTGAGGGGCACCGATGAACAGATGAAGTAAAGGAGTCTGAGAATGGAAAAATGGTTTGGGGAAGCGGGAGAAATCTGTTATGTAAAGAATCGTAGCACTGGTAACAGGGTGTGTCCTTCTCTCTGCTGCAGGGCCGCTGTGCGTCAGAAACAACGCAGTGGCAAGGAGGTTCGGAAGGATTCCGTACTGTACGAGCGGATACGTGACATTATCCATCTGTCAAAACTCACCAAGCGTGAACCTAAGTGCAAACCATGAACTTTGGTTAATAAACAATTGATATTGGTTTATTATATGTACTACATGAATGAGGAACCCAGGGCCCTGGTGGCGCAATGGTTACTCATTGGCTGCAATCCATAAGGTCCGCAGTTTGAAACCACCAGCCTCTCCACGGGGGCAAGACGGAACCTTCCACTCCCATACAGAGTTACAGTTTCTCAAACTCACAGGGGCAGTTCTACGTTGTGCTGTAGAATCATTAGGAGTCGGCATCGGCAGGGAGTTTTTTTTAAAAATCATTTTATTAGGGGCTCATACAACTCTTATCACAATCCACACACACATCAATTGTGTAAAGCACAGTTGTACATTCATTGCCCTCATCATTCTCAATACATTTTCTCTCCACTTAAACCCCCGACACTAGATCCTCATCTTTCCCCTCCCTCCCCCATCACCCCTCCCTCATTAGCCCTTGATAGTTTATAAATTGTTATTTTGTCATATCTTGCCCTGTCCGACATCTCCCTTCACCCACTTTTCTGTTGTCCGTCCCCCAGGGAGGAGGTCACATATAGTTCCTTGTAATCGGTTCCCTCTTTCCTACCCACTCTCCCTCTACCCTCCCTGTTTCGCCACTCACACCACTGGTGGCAGGGAGTTTTTGATTACATTAATGCAAACTAAATTTAAGCTGATTCCAAGTTATGGTAACCCACGTGTTACCACGTGTTACAGAGTAGAACTGCTTTACAGGGTCATAGTATTTACAGATGTGCATCACCAGGTCTTCATTCTGTGGTGTCAGGTTAGTAATCTAGTACAAACCACTTGTGCTACTCAGGACCTTTCATGTAAGATGTTAATAAAGAGGAAAACTGTGTGAGGGGAAGAGGGGATAGGAGACATTTCTGTCATATCTGTTCAACTTTTATTTTCAGTTGGAATTGTCCTAACACATGAAGTCTACGGTGAAGAAAGGAAGAAATGACCTCTGCAAGCAAATGCAGAGTGGACTGGAAGGGAAGCAGAGAGAAGCAGCGTGGAGACAGCAGACTAACAACGCCCCTCGCCAGGAGTTTAAGGGCATGCACTTGTTCACGTCTGCGCCCGCCTTCCTCCCTGGAGTATTTTACAAACTGTTGTCCTTCCCTTACTGGCTTATAAATTCTTTGAGCTTAAAAGTTAAGAGCCTTTTTCGGTATTTCATCATAACTTCTAACATTTCTTATCTTTTTACTTTCAAAACTAGCATTTTTAATCACTGAATAATATTTAATCACAGACTATACTTTACCCATTATTGATGATGAATAGAAATTTTTTTGAATCATAGATTCTTTCCTTTGAATAGATTCTTGGAAGTGGATGTACTGAGTCAAACAGTAAAGACACAACTCTATCATGCTGGACGTAACAGGAACCCTGGTGGTGCAGAGGCTGAAGTGTGCAGCTGCTCACTGACAGGCTAGCCGTTTGAACCCACTAGCCACTCCGTGGGATGAGGCAGTGTAGTTCCGTATAGATTCAGAGTTCAGGAAACTCTATGGAGTAGCACTTCTAATTTGCCCTAAACGGTCACTATGAATCGGACTTAACTGGAGGACAGTGGGTTGGTTTTGGTTGTAAAGGATATGATCAATTTACATTTCTATCAGCAATGTAGTAAAGCACCAGAGTCACTATCTGTTATACTCACAAGTAAACTACAAGCAGTGGATATGATACTATTTAAATTATATTTGCTAATTTAGTAACATAAAATCTAAGATTTATTAATGTGTATTTTAATTATTGGTGAAAACCACTATTTTGTCACATATTTACTTGTTCCATTTCTTCTTGAGAAATTCTGAGTTACCATCTTTGTTCATTAATTGAAAAGGACAATTTTTTTATTGAACCCAATAATCCACGTGCATGAATGTTTTAATTTCCTTTCGTAATAGAGTAGTCTTTATTGTTTCTATTTTCTGTAATTAATTTTCAAATTATATTATTTCCCTTTTAAATTTAGGTATATTTTTGTCACCGAAATCTTAATTTTCATGCAGACAAGTCTAATAACGTTTCCTTCGTGATTTCCTCTAACTTCTCTAATCTAAATGATTATACTCTAGATGGTCATTTGAAAATGATACTCTCTTTGTGTTTTGGCATCGTGTTGTCATGGCCTCGGGGCCGACTCTGACTCAGAAACTGGTCTTACACTACTTTCACAATCATTGCTGTACTTGTGCCCATTGTTGCTGTCACTAGGTCAATCCATCACCTGGCAGGTCACCTCTTTTGACAGACCTTCTACTGCCACAAGCATATTGCCTTTCTGCAGTCACTGATCTCTCCGGGTGCTGTGTCCAAAGTACGTCAGCCGGGTCTACGGAGCATTCCGGCTGTCCTTCCTCCAGGAGATCGGCTCTTTCTTCTGGCAGCCCATCATGGTTCAGTACTCATCGCCAACACCACCGTTTGAATGCATCCTTTCTCCTCAGTCTCCTTTTTGCCATTGCCCAGCTTTTGCATGCATTTGAGACAAGCGAAAACATCATGGTTTGGCTCAGGTGAACTTTAGTCATCACAGCGAAATCGTTGCCTTCAATACTTTAAAGGGGTCTCTTGCTGCAGGTCTGCCCCTGTGTAATGTGCCATTTGATTTCCTGACTGCTGTTCCACTTCATTTCTCGACTGCTGTTGCAACAAGTAGAATGACATTCTTGACAACGTCCTGTCCTCCATCATTCATCATGACGCTGTGCTGGTTTTCAGATGAAACTCACCCTGAAGGCTGCAGCTTCACCCTCATCAGTTAGTGCTTCAAGCAGTCTTCGCGTCTGGCAAACAAGCTTGTGCCATCGGGTTGTCAGTGAGTCTGTCTTCAATCTGATGTTGCGCTCTTCCTTGGATTATTTGTTTAGCATACAGATTGAATACGGTGAAAGAATACAACCCTGTCACACACCTTTTCCATTTTAAAACAAAGTTGCTCATGTTTAGCTGAATGTGTGCCTCTTGATTCAAGCACAGGTTCTGCAAGAGTGTGCACTTTAGTGACTCGTGTCGAACACTTTAATTCCATAAAACTTAATTTTGTTTAAAAAGCAAAAGCTGGCATTAATTCAATGTTTACTATATTATACAAGCTATTTTAGGGTTTTTTAAATACACGTTAACTCATTTAATTCTCAATGCAACCTTATGGTGAGGTATTATTAGTACCCCGATTTCATAGACGAGGAAACTTAGGGTTAACGTGGCTGAGTAATCCAGTCACAGGCACACAGGGAGCACAAGCGGCTGCACCTAAATATTAAACAACACTGTCTGACTCCAGAGTTTCTGCTCTGAGCCAGGACACTTCAAAGACATGAAACGTATCCTCATTGCACTTTTACTGAATATTCTCTACTCTTAAGCGTTGCTTTGTGATGCCTCTTATAACTACTAAAATTCTTTTCAGAGTATCTCTTCCTGGACAATTTAGTTTGCTTTACTGCTTTAACTTATCATAACAATACATACATTTGCAACATTATAGCTCAAAGATATGTTTTAATATTTAGTTTTAGAATCTGTTATAATATATCTATCGAGGAATAACAAGTACTTGAGAAAACTAGTCTTAAGATGATCCTTACCATACACTGGCGTCTTCCCTGGCAGGATGACGATAATGAGCTGCAGCCCTGAGTAGGTGTTCTTGAGATGCCGGAACATGGGCTCCACACTGTCTGCCCCCTGCGCATACTTGCAGAAGCAAGGCTGGCCCTGGATGGGCATCCCTGCGTCCTTGGAAATCTTCCGCAGCTGGTCCGTGAACCCCCTAAGAGGAGAAACCACTAAACTAGAACATTTGTCTCATCATCAATACCCATCAAATACTTAATAGGAAGTTTGGAAAAGGAATGGAAAAAATTCCATATGGAAGAGGTTAAAGGCAAAGGTGGGTCAGTAATCTCTTTGGGAACTAAACACATCATCACACAATTGCATGGTATTTGTAGCTTATAAGAGTACTAGAACTGGAGTACACTGATTTAGAGCTTAGCTCCGCATGTTAGGCACCAATCACAGGCCTGCTACTTACTAGCTATATCATCTTAGGCAAATTATTTAAGTTTTCTTCATCTAAAATGAGTGCTTCCATTACAGAATTGGTGTGAAGATTAAATGAGGTTAGGAATATAAAGCCTTGGGTGAGTGGGGAGGGAGGGGAAAAATGAGGAGCTGATGCCAGGGGTTTAAGTGGAGAGCAAATGTTTTGAGAATGATGAGGGCAATGAATGTATAAATGTGCTTTACACAATTGAGGTATGTATGGATTGTGATAAGATCTGTATGAGCCCCTAATAAAAAAAAATTAACAAAAAGATTAAAAATTAAAAAAAAAATAAAAATGGCTCCAAGTTAAAAAAAAGCGCTACATACAATTGATGCATGGATTATTGTAAGAGCTGTAAGAGCCTCCAATAAAATTATTTATATATAAAAAATAAAGCCTTAAAGACAGGGCCAGAGACATGGCTCACATCGTAGCTATCAGTTCTAATTCGATCCTGTCAAGATTTGCAAGAAAGAGGTAGGTAACACACATATTTCACAGATCAGGAAAAAGCCTCAAGGCATGACACAGCCAGCCAAACTCAAATGAGGGCACAAATGGCAGAGCTGGAAGTATGACCCTGCCCAGAAGTTCTTTCTGAAATATTACACATCTTAAAACAGAAAAGCGGGAAAGATTATGACCTTAGGAGAGCTTAAAAGTAAAGCAAAGCAAACAAAACACAAACACGAACATGACCAACCAAACAAGCAAAAAGCCAAACCTAAGAGGCCAGGCAGCACTTCCATGTACTTTCATCTACACTGAAAACACAAATAACTTTACACTTAAACAAGTGCCGCATTTAACCTAGCATAAATGAGCATAAATGTTTTTAGAACAAATAAGTTCTAAGTAAAGAATCTGAATGATCTTTGCTCAAAAACACTGTCCCTCTGAAAACAGAAATGAACTTTATAGGAATTTCCTTTTTCTTTTCAATATTACTATTTAATCCCAGAAGGGTGAAGTTAAACATTTTTATTTTTAGTCAGCCCAAACAAGAGCCAGCTGCTCAACGATTCTGAGACGTTGTGGTGCACTGAATCACTTGATATGGCCTTTCTAGCCACAGTCTTTGTAAATTCTACCACAATGGTTGGGACCATTGATATAGGGTGTATATAACTTGAATGTAGGGAAATCTCCGTGCATTTGGGGAGGCAACAGGTTTGTGGAGTGGGTTTGTTGAGCTACCTATGGAGCTAAGGTTTAGCACCTTTGGACGGAGGCGTACTGAAGGTGGAGTGGAGTGCTGGTTAGGCACTTAGCGACTGCTAAAGGTGTAGTGCCACATTGTGCTGCGTGGCTGAGGACCAGAGATATGTGCTTGCAAGCACAGCTGAGAAGAAGCCCTCATGAACTGTGTTCTGAGCTTTTCTGATGCTGAACTGTTACATGTTAATTACGCTAATAAACGCCTCAGTCGTGGGTAGGGTGACGTTGCCGCAGCCGCTGCAGTGAATTCTTGAGTTCAGCAGAGCAGGTGAGTGTCTTGGGAGGGATGGCTGGTATCAGAGTGGGTACAGAAGCATGCCTGACCACAGCCTCATTGGAATCGACCTTGAGCTGATGTTTCGTTTAATTTTCCTTCTGCCCTGCAAAGTCTGAGGAGGTCAGACACCAGCACTGCCACCCACACCATTCTCACAGAAGGGGACATTCGCAGTGGAGAACAGCAGGAGAGAGAGAGAATACAGTGCTTCCATTTATAAAAAAAAATTTAAATCCAGAGTGTGAAAAAGGAGTAATGAGAAAAGACTTTAAGACTGAAGTAAAAGATTTCAAATATCAGGCTTGTTTAAAATGCTTTAAAAAACTCATTTTATTGGGGGCTTGTACAGCTCTTATCACAATCCATCCATCCATCCATTGTGTCAAGCACATTTGCACATTTGTTGCCCTCACCATTCTCAAAATTAAATGCTTTTTTGGGTTTGTTTCCAACCAAAGAGGCACTTAATAGTGTTGGAGTGGGGTAGCTGGGAACAGCGCTGGTGTTCTTCCATGTCAAGACAGTGACTCCAACAAGGGCAACGCGAGAGCCCTTGAGACTGTGTCTCAAGCACAGACGAGAAGAGGAAAAGAAGCCACACAAAGTGGGGGAGAGAAAGGAAAGAGCAAGGCAAGAGGAAAATTGTCTCTAACACTAAACATGTTGGGGGGTGGGGAAATAATGGCTAAGAAGAAGCCATTAGACTTGATAAGCAAGAGCTATTAGAGCTCCCCCACGGCTCCATCTCAACAAAGCCCTTTTATCTCAAGGAAGGAAACAGATGGAAGTCTAAAACAGTAAAGTAAATGGAAAACTGAACATTTAAGACAAAAGTAGAACAGATCATTGTTGAGCACATATACTGAGGTACAAAACCTGGTCAGGACAAGGGGAACAGTCGAGGTCAGAATTTAGAATGCAAGAAATGGAAGGTGAGTTGTTTAATCCCACTCTTTCCAAAACAAGTCAGATGAGAAATGAGGAGACAGGAAAGTAGTTCAAAGGGAACTTAGAATCGAGAGAAATACTTTATTTGCTTTATTTTTTAATGAACGGAGTTAAGGGAACTAACTTGGCGTGGTTCTTCCATCCAGTCTCTGTCACGCCTACCAAACGACTGGGTGGGAGCAAACAGACAGGGTGTACGGGGCGGTATGAGGAACTGGTCAATGATCCCATCCCCCGGTGTAAAGTGAGCCATCTCAGAGGCAGGGGCAGAGAAGCCCAGAGTCAGCAGAAAGAAGAGCCAAAAGCGGAGCATGCTCAAGGTCTTCGTGTGGAAAGTGCCGACAGTAGAGACGGTGGAGAAGACAGGAGAAGAGTAGAGCGGAGGGTTTCAGGCACACAATGGGTAAAGCTGACCAACTTTGGGGGGAGGCTGCCTTGCAGGGTGGCATGCATCAGTGCTAAAGGAGCTTGGCATAACACCTGCCTATGCAGGGCTGCATAGCTGAGGCATAGGACCGGAGAGAGAAGTGCTTGCAGGCATGGCTGAGGACAGGCAGTGTGGACCAAAGAACTGTACCCTTAACATGGTTGGGGTCAGAATAGGACCAAGGAGGTTGGAGGCATGTCTGACCTCTGCCTGAGAGAAAGCAACCTTGGGTTGGTGACAGGTTGGTACAGCCCGAGGTCAAATCTGGCCCCCACATCATTTCTTCGAAGAACCAAGTGTGCTTTTAACTGTAATCAGTAAGCCAGTTGAGAGAAACAGGTTGAAGAAATGAGAGAGAATTTATGATTAAAAGTCATGACAGAGATGGGAAGGATGTAATAAAGAGCACAGAGAACAAAGTTGGGCTTATCTGGACTTGGGGACACTGGGAAAAATGGCTGAACGAGCACTGAGTGGAAGGGGAGCATCTCGGGCTCTAACAGGAAGGAACGGAAGAGACCCTAAGCAGATGGGTACCAAAAGCACACAGTTTCAACCTCCAAGTGGAAATCACCCTCCTGCAAGAGAACACTGCACACCCCCATCCCAATTACAACCAGGCAGCAGGGATACACCAATTTAGCTTTGCAAACAGGAGAAGTTATGTTTCATTTCCCACAAGCCTTTTGATCATTGGAGTAGGTTAGGGTGGTCACAATGAAGATGCCTAAATGGGGGTGAGATTAGACACACTATTGTGTGCGTAAGCATTTTCCTTGTTCCTTGACGATTACATTGAAGAAAAGCGGAGCTTTGTGGCAGCTGTTTTCTAAGGGGGCATGCATGGGAGCATTCAGAGAAAGCAAGCCACCATCAGTCAATTGCTGACTTTAAGTCAAGTACCTGGCACTTAGAATCTTATTCCATTTTATACTGCAATGGAGGTCCTTTCCAATGACTCTTTTGTAAGTTGATTCAGGTCAACTTAAGTTGAATATTTCTTGTGCTTTAAAGTTTTCATTATTATTGCCTTTTACTATCAATATGTTTATAAATTCAATTTTGCCTTTGTGGGGTGGAAGCATTAAGCATCTACCAGTGAACATCTGAGAATGGTAACATGAGCAAGGGCATGCTGCCACGCTGTATGTAGTACAAAAGAACAACAACAGCCAGTAGTGCGGTGAAACCAGGCTGTCATACCAGTATTCTTTTTACAAAGGTGCGAAGGGCTTGAGAGTCAAGAAATGATCCCTGGGAATATAGTTAGGAAGTAGCAAAGCTGGGAATTAAACCCAAGACCCATATGCCATCAAAAGTCTATGAGGCTGCTGCTTCCACACAAGCCTGTCATTGGCTGAATGAAATCGCTAAAAACATATTACTAAAGTCTTAATATTGCCTGAGCTTCATTCCAGTTGTGAATGGGACCTGATTTGAGAACGGGGTCTTTGGAGGTATAACTCGCTAACAGGGGAGTCATCCTGGAGGGGAGTGGGCCCTACTCCAATCCAACTGGACTGGTCACTTAGAAGAGCCACAGAGAATGACATTGAGGGAAGGTCATATTAAGGGGGAGAAAGAGATTAAAATTCTGTTTCCACAACTAAGGTGTACCTGGGGCTATCAGAGCCAGATGAGGTTAGAGAGGCTCTTCCTTCAGAACCTCTGAAAAGAATGCAACCCTGACGAGACCGTCAGACAGCTGGCCTTGAGAATGAGAGGATACACTGCTGTTGTTTTGAGCCACCAGTTGTGGTAATTTGAATGGGACGCCTAAGAAATAAGCACAGCCTATTAGGATGTCTAGGAGAATAAATCAATGACTTTACTGTGTCTAGACAATTTAAGAACCTTCACTGAATGACTAAGAAGAAACATTACAATTTTTGTGATGAAATATTGTCTATATTAAGGCAATATGGGTTAGAACATTAGCTGAGTAATCTACAAATGAAACACCTATCTTAATACAAAAAAGATTCCAAGCCAAAGTAATGACAAGCCTGACTTACTTTAGTATTTCTTCTCTGCACTGCCTCTGTGTGGCAAAACAAGCGATCGCCCACATTTTGATTTCAACTCCTGTGTGGAACTGTTTCCCTCTCATGTCCCATACTCCATGGCTTGGTGTGGCTACTGTCCGATTCTACAAACAAAGGAGAAAGAGAAACAACTGGTAAAAACAAAAAGAACAAAAAAAATTTTTTAATCATTTTATTGGGGGCTCGTACAACTTTTACCACAATCCATCCATCCATCG